CCCCCGGCTCCCTTCCTCTCTCACACCCACGCTGTTTCTGCCACGCTGACACTGGCTTCTGTCTTCCTTGGGAAAATGCCTCTGTCCTCAGCTGAGAGAGGAAAAAGTGATAAGCCAGTTTGTCATCTGTCTCCGGCACTTCACACTGCAACGCAATCGTGTCCCGAGGGCGACCGCTCCAGCCAACCCTACCTCCCAGTCTGGGAGTGTGAAGGAAGCCAGCGGCACAAATCTTCCAGCCACGAGTCAAGGCAGCAGCACAACTAACACACCCGATACTCGTCATCTCATCCCAAGTCCCTCCACCTCATCATCCACCCCCACTGATGGCCGCACAGTTCCCTGGCTCTGGAAAAACGAGGACACAGAGCAGAAGAAAAACATGGTCTGGACATAGGTAGGACTGTGCTCCTAACAATAAGCAGCTATTTGCAGGGGGAAGAATACTGCCCTTGTGGCATGCTTCTGTCTCTACCAGTCGCTGATTGAAACTCGGAGCCAGCTGGGGTCCGGCTGCAGGCTCTGCTGATCCTCGCCGAGCGCAGACCCGAGGCACGCTCCGAGCAGCGGCCAGCAGCAGACGCAGGAGGACGGGGCGACCGAGAGAGTTCGCAAGCCAAGCATCTGTGAACACTACACAGCCAGGCAAGGAAGCAGCAGAGATGAGCAAGGTCAGGCTGACTGAGGAGGTTAAATACACCCCAGATGTAGCAAGAAGACACAGTTCTGCAGACGAGTGTCTTTGTCCAACTCATTTTGGGTCCCTCTCCAAACATTTCCTAGCCACAGCCAGCCAACCCTGATGAGCCAGAATCAACCTTAAGCCTCAGAGGATGCACCCGTGTCAGGTACCTGGATGACAGATGACATTATCTAGGAAAATGACTGCCAGCCTCCCCAATAAACGCAACAGAAGAGGCAGGGAACCCAAAGGAAAAAGACTTTTTACAACTATTTCCCCTGGCATTCCCTAAAGGGAAAAGAAATTCTGTAGATGGGAAGCTACACTTCAAGGCATCTGCTCCCTTTGCTTTTACATCTATCACAGATGTCCTTAACACTTGGTGTAAAACAGGAGATACAAATATGAAAGCTTATATGAACAAAATAATAACTTCCTACTTAATCTTCACAAGAGATCAAGCTATTCCAGATACATTAATAAAAAAGCTTCCCAGCTCACAGGAAATAGCTGCAAAAGAATAACTGAGCACAGCAAGAGTGAGGACGGGGCAAGCCTAAGACAGACAGTGTCAAAAACAGTCCATGATAAATTAATGTGCCTCCACCCTGAAGACAGAGAGCGTTGCCACGAATTGTCACTAACAGCAAGGAGCACACCAGCTCGGAGTGCAGACGCATCCTATCTCCAGAAAACACCATCCAAGCTGATACTAACCACAAACTTCTCGCCGTTTTGCTCCACGTGCTTGTAGGTGGGGATGGAGATGGGCACAGCTTGTTTTTCTGTGTAGTCGTAGAATGACTGCCCCAAAGAGTCATCACTCGGATCAAGATTATCTGCCTCGTGGGGAGGCACGGACAACACTGTCAGAATTAACTCCTTCTCTCCTGCACGAATCAGGTCCACCACTTGCTTGTGTGTTGCTCCTTCGACATTCACCCCATTCCTGCGAAAGAGAAAGCAAAAAAGCCATAAGCAAGGCGGAGGTGACTGCAGAGCCTTCAAACCACGCCAGGACCAGCCCAGAGATCCATCATATATCTGCTTCCCTTGAAAAACCCTCCAGCCTCAACTGCTCTGGTTGCTCCAGGTTCGCTCTGGTCTAAACTTCACTAATCTTCTCTATTGATGATTTCTCATGTTATTAGTTACTGAATTATGTTTAAAGACTTCAACACAACTAAAACTTCTTTAAGACTCACGCACCCCCTTGAATATTTAAAACGAGTTTTGCAGTTTTTACCATTTCTCAATGGTACGACATGGCACGTTCATACGCAGAAAGCGAGCCTTTTCCTGTCAGCTAAAGGCAAATGCAAGACGACCACAGAATTGGGGAAGAAAACACTGAACGCCTTACACATACTACTCTGTGCTCCCATCCACCAAGACACAGCACCCACGAGCACATGTGCTTCAGTGCAACACAAAGGAGACGTGCATTCGCTTCAGTTACTTCCAGGCAAACTGCTGTGCCTTGCCCCAAACAGCCCAGGAACACTGCTACAGCGAGTAACGCGTTTCTGCTTCCTAAGCTGCTCCAACCTGATTGCAAGAGCTTGTCACAATTACGCTCCAAGCCCTCCAGGAGCCCCAGGGAAGACCCAAGACATATTTCAGTGCAACACAAAGGAGACGTGCATTCGCTTCAGTTACTTCCAGGCAAACTGCTGTGCCTTGCCCCAAACAGCCCAGGAACACTGCTACAGCGAGTAACGCGTTTCTGCTTCCTAAGCTGCTCCAACCTGATTGCAAGAGCTTGTCACAATTACGCTCCAAGCCCTCCAGGAGCCCCAGGGAAGACCCAAGACATATCCAAGCCTTTTTTTTTTCCTGCTCTCCCTGCGAGCTCAGTTAACCATCGCTTGGGTCTTGCTTTGCCAGAAGATACGGATCATACCTTGGCCAGCCTAGAAAGATGCTGGACCTATGACTTGATTTCAAAGCAAAGAGAGCTGTTAGGTTCTCTTCCAAATCTGGAAAAGGACAAGCCTGTTTTTCCTCCTGATAAGAGCTAAATTTAGTAGCGAGTCTCCATAAACTTGCAGTCATCACAAGCATCTCTGTGAAGAGTTTGGTATCCGAAACATTCCCTGTATAAACAGGAACAGGCAGAGCTTCACCCACTGCATCCCTACCAGTCAGCCTGGCCGTGCTCTCGCAAAGCTGCCGGAGAGCCCGTAGATCATCGGAGACGACAGGTCCCTTTCACCTCTGCTTCCCGAGCAGCTGCTTGGGACCAGCCTGGAACAAACCAGCCAAGGAATTTCTCACCGCTGAGAAGCGACACCGGCAACTACGCCATAATGCCAATTTGTCTTCGCTCACACCTAGGAATTTCTCCACCAGAAAGCCCAGTGTTGCCCTTATTCTGTGCTGCTGGCTACGGCCATCACCTTATGCTTCAGAGGAGTGCAAGAGGAAAGCAGCCTGCACTTTCCCAGCCACAAATCCTGACCATGCAGGGCGAGAAAGGGTTCTCAAATACTCCCTCTGGCAATCAGCTACTCCTTCCTGGAGCCTGGGAACAGACCGTCATCAACTCACTGCCAAAGACGTAGTGCTGGTCACAGAACCATCCCAGCTTGCCTTAAATCAAGCGCAGCATTTAGCTTTCAATCCCCAGCTCTCAAATGAAAGAGAACAGCTCTTACCGCTTCACATCAATCATTTTTTAATCGAACTTTTACTTAGAAGAATTGCCCTGGAAAGATCCGATCTTGACTTACAAATCTGGGTGAGAGATCCCAGGCTCCGAATCAAGTTTAAAAAAGCCCCAAGCAGTGCTTGTGAGCCAGAGACAGCACTTGCACTTTGCTAGGAGTTGGACAAGAAAGCTTCCCCCAGCTCAGACACCACCCACAGTTATCAGCCCTCTTAGAGGTCCCGGATCGTTTCACGGAAGGGATAACGAAGCAACCCTCAGATGCAGCCCCTGGGCTCTGTGTGATAAGAGTGCTCGAAGAGCTGTACACAGCTTTTACAGCAATGAGGCCGTTAAGTTCAGGAAGAGGGAAAATCCCCTCCTCACCGGCCAGCTCTTCCACAGGGCAGGAGCCTGACCTCCAAAGCAGCAACTTTGGTTGCAGAGGGCAGCCCTCGTTACCGAGTCGAGCCGTCAGCCACCAACACCGTCACACTAAAGCGACATTTGCCTTTGTTCCACCTGACCGACGCTCACGTGCTGCTCGCTTATCCCAGACCACTTCCGCTCGCCTAGAATTAAACCCAGTCCGCAAAGCCCACCAGCACCGCTGCCCAAGTATGATTTTTGATGGATGGGGATGAAAAGCCAGAGACTCCAGTTGTGCGGAGAAGGCTGCTGTTTGCCCACACCAGGAGGGACGGCAAGCCAGAACGACTCTCCTCCGCGCGTCCCAGTCCTGCCCTGAAGACAGAAGGACAAAGACAGGGGAGTTTAGCCACTGTCACACGCTCGACCTCGAGCCCATCTCCAGCCAGCGACAGGCAGAGCCCCCGCCAGCTGGCAGCAGGGGCTTTTGGATGACCCGGGCTGCAGAACTCGCTGCTTAGTCCACAAAAGTCAAGGCTGGTTTTTAGTTACTCAGCCCCAGCTAGGCTAGAACTACATCCTCAGCTTAACTTCCCATGAGCAAAGACCTCAGACACTGCGCTTTCCCTTCTGCCAGCAGACCGAGAACAAACACGCTGCCAGCTTCCTCCTCTTCCTCTCCCACACCCTCCTCAGCCCCTGGTGACTTCTGCTGCCACCCGTTTCCTCCCCAGACCAAACCCTGGGAGGGGGCGAGGACAGGACCTGGGACTCCCGACAGTAAGACTGCAATGCATCATTTCATTCACAAAAAACCGGTAACACCCACTGCCGGCTCTCCGTTGCTCCCAGCGGGCTTCTTTCTAAGATCAGATGTTGCTTTAATAGCAGCGCTGCTCGCCCCTCCGCTGTGCCAAGCAGTAGGAAGGAGCCGTCGGTACCGCAGGCGCGTGGGGCCGGAGGACTCGCACCTTTGCAATAAAGTCACCATAGCAACTCAGGCTGGAATCATCATCGATGAACCGACGAAGAAAGGGAACGGTAAATCATGCGACACAGGCAAATCAGGAGCAGCTGGCAAGGCGAGAGGAGCACAGCTGAACGATGCGCTGTTTACGCAGCCATGGACCTGCGGGATCTGAGAGCCGAATGCACTTTTCCCAAGACAACGGGACACTTGGGTACTTTGCTCCTCAAGCTTCCGCCTCCATTTGGAGTCGGAAAAAAGATCCAGGTGTTACCTTTTCCCTTCCAGGGAATACGCATGGTCCCAGGAGAGAGCGGTGTCCACAGGGCTGCGTCCCGCCATACCTTACAGAAAAGACGTCCAGATACACCAGCGGCAGAAGATGACCAGATCCAACGAATCCGTCCCTCCACGGAGGAGGTACTGCAGATGGCTCTCATCTCTCTTCTGCGCCCGAAGGGAAATAGAGGAGAACTCTGCTCATGGTGAGCAAACTGCTGCAGGATGGAGACCGCAGCCAGGTACATGCAACCCCCGGCCAGGTCTGCCAGACTTCAGCAGCACTCGAAGAGCAACCTCCCCTGACAAATCACTTCTCTCAGCTGTCTGCCACCAAACGAGGATGTGGTTAAACCAGGAGCACGAGGTTCTGTCACCTTTCGCTGCAGGACGGTGGGTGAGTCTCCTTCCCTCGACGCCCGGCTTCCTCTTCGCCTCACCGGGGATGCGAGCTGCCTCGCAGGAAGGCTACCGCAGGAAAGCTCTGAAGTCGGTGGGTAGAAGCGGTGCTGGAGCTGTTCAGTGCACTGTTGGACTGGGCAACGCGGAGCCTTTGCACGCCGTCCCTCTGGCAGGGGCATCCCCACCCAAACAGGGCTGCAAAGCAGCTCCCAAAGACTCTTGCCATCCCCCAGGGAGCTGCGAAGAAGCTGTTTTCCTCCTGGTGCTGGTTATGGTCAGCCTAGCTCGATACTCGCCGTGACTAAGGGCTGACGTTGGCTGAGCTGAAGACAGCATAACCCCAAATCACTCGTTACCACGTTTCTGTCGGCAATCGTCTCCCCGCGGCAGAGGGAACACACACCCGTGCCGCAGTCCACAGTCCAGCACGCCGGCAAAGACGCCTGCCAAGACAGGCCTAGGCTGAGACTCCGGACTGTGACCAGAGGCAGTGGCACGCTTTGCTGCCCGCTGACACCACTGCAAGGGCAGAAACCCTGGCACGCGTGGGGCGAGATCAGGCGCTGCCAGCCTCGGCACTCGCCCGTCGGGGCTTGCCTGGTGCTACGGGGGAAGCCAAGCTCTGGGAATTACAGCAGGTTATGCTTAACAAAAGATCTTCAGCCTGTGGTTCAGCAAGCTCCTGCCGCAAAAAATACATGCTGGGGGGCAGAGCAGACCAGTGTTTGCTCATCGTAATGAATTTAAAAGCCTCTTTGAGACTGAGTTTCCAAAGCACTAGCCCAAAGACGGTGAGCAGCAGCTGCGGGCTGGCACGGTCCCCTGGCTGGAAGGAAGATGAGCTGCTGAAGCACCCCGCTCGGTCCCCCAAACCTGCTCTCTCCGCCAGCACGGTGCAGAAAACGTCTCACTCACCATCTGCATTTGAACCCGGCAACACCTATCAGCAAGCGTTCTCGGCAAGAAGAGGAACTGCTGGCAAACACCGGGAGACCCTGAGGACGAAGCACGCGTTCCACAAAGCAAAATTCCCTGTCATGCCAATGCTAACAAGCAAGATCCGCGAGACACAGAGAAGAACATTTCGCTTCTCCCATTTGTACACTGAATGACTCACTTTCTGCAAAGACCTCTTAAAATTTCCCAACTATCTCTCTGTCAAGAAATGACAAGGAAATTTACTGCAAGAAAGTCTGCAATAAGCTTCCTGGAGATTAAGACCACAGCCTGCCTTTGTGCTTTGTTCAGGCAAAGTACTGACCAAGCTGACAAACCGTCCAAGGAAAAACATCCCAGAAACTACTCAAGTCATCTTTAAGGCTTTGCTTTTTAGCAGATGAGCACCTTCAGCCATCCCATGCTATCAGCAGGGCCACCATGGCAAAGCACAGGTCAGAGCCCAGCTCTGCAGTTAAGGCAAGACCAGCAAAACCTGCGTTAAACAAGCACAGCTCTATCCGTCTGGCATCGCACCGCTCGCCCATCCCAGTGTGACAGAACCAGGCTGGCAAGAGCCTTGCCGTGTCGATGTGGCCTCAGAAGCAATACTGGCAGCAGCTAGTCGCACCACAACTTCACGTGTCACCTGTCTCTTAACGGGGATGGTCTGCCAAGTCCCCATCTCCCCCCACCCAGCGCTTCGCATCTCCCAGCTCCTGACGCTTGGCTCAAAACACATCGGGCTCCAGCTCTGTCCAGGGCTGTACGTTAAGCCCATAAAATTCAATACATAATCAAGAAGCTCCCTGCACTCCTGCTTCTTCTGTAGCACACCGGTTCTCACCAATATTCAGCTGTGGGAGAGATTTTAAGTGCGGTGCTGAGACAACAGCAGCGGTGACAGATTACTCCCTGCTCTGAGAAGGGCTGATGAAGGAAGAAGAGCGCTGAAGATGAGATCCAGCAACGAGGGCAGTCACCACAGGGATCAGCAGCCTCCTCAGGAGAGGCTCTGGAAATAAAGATGAACAGCTAATGAGCTTACTGGACACAGCAGTGCGGGACAGCTTCTCCAGGCTTGCTGTAGCAGTTGCAGAAACAGCCACTTTATCGTCTTCACCCCTCTCCCTTCTCAAATCCAGCTAATGCCAAACACCGAAACAGCTCCACGCGACGATGCCTTACGGCGTGCGTTTGCAAAGGGGCAGCCGCTGCGACGGTGCCAGCTCCTTCCACCACTCCTCGGGAGAGCGACGTATTCGCCCGACCAATCCGCAGCAGCTTTAACAGACCCAGCTCCTTGCAGCTTATCCCAGAGGAGTGTTAAGTTTCTCAGTTGCATGATACACCCGAGACCATTCAAGCTAAATGGTTTCCCCGACAGGCAGCGTGTTTCTCCCCCTCCAGCCCTGAACTGCTCAGTCCCCAAAGCCAGACGGCCGTCGGCACAAGCCTTCCTCAAACTGAACCACCCCAGGGCTGTTCAGCTGAGGCTGAAGCAGTATTTCCCCATTTCTAATCACCCAAAAGAAGGGAAGCCAGCCTTCCTCTTTTACAGCTAAGCAATCCAGACCCTGTCCAACATTATTCCAAACAGATTAAAAAACCCCAGGAAGACACTGGGGTGTGTGCAATTCCAGTGACCTTTCCTACTTCTCTGATGTGGGAGAGACCAGAAGGGGATTGCGATAACTACCATTTTCACAGAAGCCTCTTACAACATTTTTAGGAAGTTTTAACGTCCCTGTGCATATTTACACGCATTGCTCTGGCAAACAGTGCGACCGCCATTCACCCGCTCCAATCATGAGAGCAATGATTCCTTGCAAATTAACACTTCTGAAACACCCTGAAAGAAGACAAAGAATGTTAACATTTCAGAAGCTTAAAGACTAAATATTACCACAAAGCAAACAAGTACTGAGCTGTTAGTCTTGCTGAAAAAGAAACAACATTTTGGACACTTCAGGAACCAAATCTGTATCAAATCCACCCTGGAAACTCAGGAGCAGTTAACTGCAATCAACTTCTACACCAGCAATAAGAGACATCATCTAGGTCAAGGCCTCCTTGGGTTTTCCTTCCCTGAACCATCAGCAAAGCCACCCCGATAAGAGCAGAGATGGACAGGGCTGCTAGACCACAAGCCCCGGTGCCAGCACAGAGCTGGACTTTTACGCATAACCTTTCTGACCATCATCAAAGCAATGATTTTTATCTGCTCCTTTTGTAGACCCAGATTCTCCTCTGTCTCAGTTCAAGCTGCTGACGGCCAAGTTCAAGCCTTTTTTTCACTCTTTCGCAGAGTTCCAAGCAACATCAATGAGCCTCCGAGGACTCTGCAGACCACACGCTGAAAACCACCATCACAAGATGCTCCTCCAGAGACGTCAGTGAGGAGCCCAGCAGGGTCTCGCGCTCCAGCTCTTCGAAACAGCATCCTAGCCCAACAGCAACCTGGAGCACGGGTGTTCACGAGGCCTCTCAATGACATTTTGGTCTGCAGCTTGCATTTTGCAGGCACAGGTTTGAACCCCCGTAAAAGGAAAGTCTTCCCCTGCCTTGTACTTTGTCCATCACTGCTTCCTCGGTGTTCAGACTGGTGAACAAGGAAGGGAAACGATGGGTGCAAAAAAAGCCACCACAACACGCCGGGCACCAACGTCCAGCACATCCCCAGCAGCTCTTGCCCATCAGGAGTGGGGCCGCCGCTTCCACCGAGCCTGCGGGGACTGACCCACTTGCTTCGTTATCTTGAGCTGAACAAAGCAGGAGCAGAGAGCCCAGGCAGCAGAAATGGGTTTAAATTTCTCCAGCTTCAGTCATCGCGCCCATTCCTAGGCACATACAGAGTTCTGTTTAAATATACTGCAGAAGTGTTAAACCAGGGTAGATAAAAAGGCTCTTGCGTTTATCTAATTGTACGCTTAATGGAAAACCCAGCACACGAGGGTTCTTCATTTACCCACCGCTGTTATCTCTCAAGAAAGAAAAGATACATTTGCAGTTTTTCACTCAAACAGCCAACGCCAGCCTTGCTGAGCACACCGAGCACAGGCTGAAAGGCGCAATCAGGAGACCGGAGTTATTCCCAATTCTAATCTACAGCCTTAACCAGGCGAATCCACTCCCCCCCGCGCTTCAGCAGCCCTGTTCATAAGAGAGGGAGAGATGCTGACCCACAGTAAAACGCTCCGAAAACACATGCAGAAAAGCGAGGCATGGAGCCCAGAAAGGTTGAGGTGAATTCAGGAATGTTACTGGGAACACGGTGTGTTTAAGAGGTGGGGGGAGGAAAGATATCTATCAGCTGGTGATTAGAAGGACTTTAGGTTCGCCAGGCTGCAAGCCAAACTCAACACGTTTTGTGAGTTCCTATGGCTGCAACCGCAGCAGAACAACCACCCACCTCTGCCGTGCATCCCCGCGTGTCTTCCACCTTCTCACCATCCAGGCGTGTGAGATAAAGCTTCCAACACTGACTCAATCCACTTCCCAAACTGTCTGAGGTCAAGGAAAGAGGCACCCTTGAAGACTTTGGCCAAGGTAAAGCCTGCTGACCGCTTCGTAAGGTGATTTTCTGGCAACGCACCCTTTATGCGAGCAGCAACATGCTGCATGTAAGCAGGGCACGCAGCTGCCGCCTCCTTTTTACAGACTGTTCTGGACTTTTCCAAAGCAGAAGCAGCTTTTTCTACCCCAAGTCGATACACAAAATTAGACTTTTGACCAAGAGAGGATAGTTTAATCTCCTGAGGGAAATGCCTTCTACCCCGCACACCAGGCACAAGTCGCTCCCCACGAGGGTTAGGAAGAAGCCGTCTCCAGCGGGGGTAATTCCATCAAGACCCGTATCGAGGGGTACGACACCTTCCCTTGAAGCAGCCGGTGCTGCGACCGTTTCAGACATTTCTCTGATGAAGGAACAAGTGATGGAGACCAATTCTCTGGTCTGGGGTATCCCCCTACCCTGGCAATCACACCTAGATCAGGCCAGTTTTCCATTGCACACAGTTCAATAATATTGAGAACAAATCCCTTCTTTATCTGTTCAATTATTTTGGAGCGAGCTTCCCTGCAAACAGAGCAAACGCTAGTGAGATTTTCTTTCCTGTCAAGATTAGTTATGATTGTCATTCAGGGTGATAATCAAGAACTAAATTAGCTTTCATTGTCTGTCTCCAATGCCCTCAACACCCACAAACACACAACCAGCTAAGAAGATTAGCGAGCACGCCATAGCTATGTTGCAAAACCAGCCTTCGAAAGCAAGAGGTCTGAGCTAGATGCTAGATAGGGGAGCATGATGCAGTGAAGGATGGCAAGAAAGGACTTTGTAGTGAGGACAGGACTCTAAATAACTCTTCAGACAACACCTGAAACACCCTTTGGTTTTGGATGAGGACAGGGAAGCAGGTTGCACTCCAGCTGGCAAAGGAAAATCACACTGCTGTTACTGCGGCCGGAGCCCTCAGCCGTGCAGGGACGGAAGGTCTCTGGGTCT